CGCAGCGGGGACCCTGGGGTGGGCTGGCCCGGCGCTGGGGATGCGGGGTGGAGGGTGCGCAAGACTCCCTCCACCCCGCTTCGGGGCCGCTCCTACTCGGTCTCTCCGGCCCCGGTGGCTCCCTAGAGCGCCCTCTCGGTCTCGGGTTCGAAGGAGAGGGCGCTCCGCGGATTTGGGGGCCCCCGGATCCGTGGTCCAAAGCCAGCGAGCCCCCCCCTTTGTCCGCGCGAGGCGGGGGTAGGGGCAGGGTTCTAGCCCACCCCGCCCACCCCGGTTTTCTCGGGACTTCGGTTCCCGGCCTGGCAGAGGAGGCCGGACGCGGTCCGAAAGTCCCTCTCCAGCCGGAGGGTGTGGGTAGGAGCCGAAGTCGGAACACCAGCGACACTTTTTTTTTAAACAAAACTTTATTGGTAATAGTTTTCAAATATGTTTACAACAGCACACTGTTCGAGAAGAAGTCTCGCCCTTCGCAGCACACAGGTTGAACGGCCCCGCGCCCACCCGGGGCCCCAGCCTGCCCGAAGGCTCTCCGCTGGGGAGGAGTTGACAGGGACGAACACAGGGTGGGGTGAACGGGGTGTCTCCCCACCTTGCTAGTTGGAGGAAGAACACAGATCAGACGGGGGGTGGTAGCGTGAGAGATGGACAGCTGACAGCAAAGCTGGGGTGGCCGGGCCGGGAGGGCCGCAGAAGCCGCTGGTAGATGACACAGGCAGCCCCTCCCAAGCAGCCAGGCCTCGAACCCGCGCGGGTTTGGGGTGGGGGTGGGGCGCTCTGCCAATTCCAAGTCCTTTTGTGGGGTCGCCTTCCCAGCTGGGCTGAGAAGAGGCTGGGTGTTAAAATCTGAGAATAAAATGGAGTTGGGGGGCACCGATGGTGAGACGGGGGACCCTGGACTCCTCTTTTCGGGGGGGGGGATGGCTCCTCATCCGGAGGGAGAGGGGTAGCTGCTTGGTCTGGCTCCCAAAGCCCAGGGGTGAAGGAGGGGTGGGGTAGCAGGGAGGGGCTGAGCCCCTTGGCAAGGTGGCAGAGGACCCCAGGAAGGAGGCAAGGCGGGGTTAGCAGCTCAGGGTAGAGGTTCAAACCCCTTTTTTTCTTCTCACGAACTCAGTCTGCTTCCCAGCCTCGGTAAAATGGATTTGGGGAGCTGGTGAGGGGGCGGGGAGGCACTGGTGGAACTTAAATAAGATCTGAAATTGTTTTTAAAAATTCGAGCAAGCAGCTCTCTGAGCAGGTCACTGACACCTGGCCTTTCTGTCGTCCTTCGCCCTTAGGGTGAGGGGGTTATGTGCTGCGTCTGGACCCCTCAGTCCTCGCCCTGTCCCTGATGTACCAGCAAGACCTGGTCTGGCGGACGACAGCCTCATTTCCAACAGGCAGAAGTAGGCTGAGATGGGGTTTCCTTGGGGAGAGGGGCGAGAGGGCTGTGGGAATGGGGGGAGCAATGGTGTTTCTGTCCCCCCACCCAAGGTCTGGGCTTCCTGCTCCCCTCAACCGTCGAGGGTGGAGTGGGGGTGAAATTGGATGCAAGGAACTCCGGGGCCCTCTGGCTGTTCAATCCACCCCCCCATCCCCCCACCAAAAAAGAAAAAGAAAACAAAGAAAAGAAGAGTAAACTGGGGGGGCACAGGCACACCCCTAAAACTCAGAGAACTCCTTGCCACACTTCTCATTGATGGAGACCCGGATCTCTTCTTCTTCATAGTCGTCAAAGTTACTTGTGTCCCCTGCGCCTTTGAACTTTGGTATGAAGGGCGCTTCCACCTGGAGAGGACAGAGAACCACCCAGACCTGAGCAGCGCCATTATTACTACAGCGGCCAGTGTGGGCGCGCCATGTTTTGGGGACTGAACCCAGGGGTGTCCTCTCATTCAGCTACATCCCAGCCCCTTTTCTTTTTAAATTGAAGACAGGGTCTTGCCAAGTTACCCAGGTGGGCCTGGAACTTGTCATCCTCCTGCCTCAGCCTCCTGAGTAGCTGGAACTATGTGGGTACCACTGCACCTGGTGGTATAGATTCTTCCTAACCACCCAAGACTCCTATCTGGCTGGCTCACACAAGGGAAATGTCTCTCCTGAGGCACAGAGAATGAGGATAACCCCAGGATCTGACCATTTCCAGCCCCTTTGGCTCTAAGCTGCTTGCTTCTGGTTGGCCCCGAGTTTAAGGCCCACGCCCCAGTCTGTGTTTGCTGGCAGACTTCCTGACTCAGCCTCCCTGGCCCGCAGCATACAGGGTGGCCAACCCACCTTCCTCTGGTAAATGGCGATCCAGTCGGTTGTGGCAAACCATTTGTGGTTCTTGATGTCATTGACACCGTTCTTGAGGTTCCCGAAGCGCTTGGTGAGGTCCACCTGCAGGAGGTTCCGCAGCAGGTCTTTCAGGTCAGAGCTGAAGTGGGACGGAAACCGCACCTGGAAGGGTGAGGACAGAGGGGCGTGGGGTGAGGGTGCTGCCCTCTCCGTCCAGCAGTCCTGCCAGGAGGAGGCCCCCAAACGTGACGTTTGCCAGGATCCCATGGAAGAGGTTCTTCAAGATCCTCTGCTTCTCTGGGGTTCCCTGCCCACAGCTGGGGCTGCTGGAGAGGGACCGTCCCTGAGAATCCCTGCTCTCAGAGGAGTGCTGCAGTGGTTCCCACTTCACAGGAGAGGAAACTGAGGCATGGAGAGAGTGAGGAACAAGGTGAATCCATTGGGTAGAACCCAGGGCCTCACCCATGCTCATCAAGGGCTCTACTACTGGGCTGCAGCTCCAGCCTTTTTTATTTATTCCAAGATAGTTTTTCTAAATTCCCCAGGCTAGGCTTGAACTTACAAATCCTTCTGCCTTGGCTTCCCAAACTGGGATGACAGGTGCATACTATCCAGGTGCACACCTTGGAAACTGCTTCTTTACGACAGCTTTGCTGGGATTTAGGACTTTCGAAGCACTCCTATGTACTAGCAAAACTTTCTCCCTCACTCTGCATAGCTGTAGTGTTTCTGCTCTGTAAAGATCAGTTCCTCTGCAATCATTCACTACCTTATATGCAAGTATCACTGGATTTACAGCCTTAAGAACTGACTGCTAGTCCCTCCTCTGCCTCTCACATGCTGTGTGACCTTGGCCCTAGCCCTTAACCTCTCTGGGCCCGTGCCTGCTTCTGACTCAAGGCAGATATCCTAGGGATGTGGAGGGAGATAACACCTCAGAGAGTTTGTGGGAACTGTGGAACATGATACAGAAGGAATTGTGCTCGTCCTCCCCTTCCGCCCCCTTGGAGTCTTCTCCAGACTTGACTACATTCTGGGCCATCGTCTTGGAGATTTCTCTCCTGACTCTGGCGTGGGACACCCCATGCTGCTGTTGGTGAGTTCTTCCATCTCCTTCAAAGACAGGTAGCTGGCTCCCAGGTTCCAGGATGGGTGAGGTGAGGTTCAGAGGGGCTCAGAGTTTAATGCCAACAGGTGCGGGGCTGGGGCTGGGGCTCGGAGTCAGGCTGGCCAGATCACACACCATGCTCCTCCCTAGAACTGGGGTTTGAACCCAGGGCCTCTGCTCCCGAGCTCCATTTCCAGCCCTTTTCTTTTCTTTTTCTTTTTTTTTTTTTGGTACCGGGAATTGAACTCGGGTCCTTGTGCTTGCAAGTCAGGCAGCTGGACCACTAAGCTAAATCCCGGGCCCTGGCCCTTTTAATTTAAAGAAAGGGTCTTTCTGGGCATGGCAGTGCACGCCTGTAAGGCTAAGGCAGGAGGATCGAATGAGTTTGAGGCCAGCCTGCGCTACATAATGAGCTCAAGACAGCCTGAACTACAAAGCGAGACTCTAATAAAAAAGAAAAAAAAAGGGTCTTGGTGAGTCACTAAGTTGCCTAGATTGGCCTTGAACTCATGATCCTCCTGTCTCCCAGATAACAGCCCTGTGCCACCTGCCGGGCTACAGTAAGATATCCAGGCCAGGTCGAGAGACAGAGGGAGAGGCCTTCCCAGCAGGGGGCAAGCTGAGGCAGGTTGGGGTGCCCACCACAGTGCCCCCTTCCTTCTTGCAGCGGGGATGTTGGGCATGCCTGTTTCCTCGTCTCCCACGAGGGGGCGCCATCCCTCTAAGTATAATAGCGGGCGTGTGTGTGAACCCAGGGCTCAGTGGAGGGCACCAGCTTAACACACTCCATAGGCTGGAGCTTCCACAGCTCCACAGCCCCTCACCCAGGGCCTCAGAATTGGTGACACTTAGCTCAGCTTATCCCAGCACACTTAGAGGCTGAGGCAAGAGGGCTGCAAGTTCAAACCCAGCCTAGGCAATTTAGCTAGCTCCTTAGCAAGACCCTGTATCAAAATTTAAAGGGCTGGGGATGTAGCTCAGTGCAGAGGCTCTGGATTCAATCTCCAGGATCACCAAAAAGCAAAAGGAAGTAGCAGTACTTCTGTGCTTGGGATGGGACATAGGGGTGTCCTTAGAGGGGTCAGGGCAGCACCGAGCAAGTTCGCTCTTCTGCCCTGAAACCCGAGGACTCGCACAGAGACACAGGGAGGGGAGCAGGCCCCAGGCTGTGGCAGGGCTTCCTGTGCCCTCACAGGGGAGGCTCCAGACTGGAGGCCCAGGGAGAGCGTTCCCAGCGTGGACCAGTGGTGAGGCCCTCTGGCGTGTCCCGGCTGATGGGCCTCACCTTCCCAGAGACGATCTTCTCGTAGATCTGGATGGGCTGATCGGCAAAGAAGGGCGGGTAGCCGGCGGCCATCTCGTAGATGAGGACCCCGAGTGCCCACCAGTCCACAGCCTTGTTGTAGCCCTGCAGCGAGACGGCAGGGTGCAGGTGAGGGGACAGTGGGGAGCAGGGGGCAGGGGGAGGACAGGCCAGCGGGGCCTACTTTGCTTAGGATGATCTCAGGGGCCAGGTACTCAGGAGTCCCGCACAAGGTCCAGGTGCGGCCCTTCACGCGCTTGGCAAAACCGAAGTCTGTCACCTGAGGACATTAGAACAGGTGGTTGGCAGAGAGGCAGGACAGGGCTGCAGCCACCCCTGCCACCCCTCGCCTGCAGGCACCTGAATGTAGCCCTGGTGGTCGATGAGGAGGTTCTCGGGCTTCAGGTCCCGGTAGATGAGGTCCAGGGAGTGCAGGTACTCAAACGTCAGGACAATCTGTGCCGCGTAGAAGCGGGCATGAGGCTCACTGGCAGGGACAAGTGGGGGAGGGGACAAGGGTGTGAGTGTGCTGGGCACTGCCCAGTGTGGTCCAGCAAGTGGGCCTGCAGAGCCTCCCTCAGGCTGGAAGACATCCAAAGTGCAGATGCGAGGCAGCACGGGTCCTTGGGTCCAGATATTACTGGGACTGGCCTGGGAATGCAGCAAGATTCCACTCAGTTAAAAAAAGAGAAAGGTAGATGGGTGTAGTGGCATAGGCCTGTACTCCAAGATCCTCAGAAGGCTGAGGCAGGAGGATCACGAGTTGGAGATCAGCCCAGGCAACTGAATGAGTCTATCTCAAAATAAGAAGGGCTGGGGATGTGGCTCAGTAGTAGACAATGCTCCTGGGTTTGTTCAATTTGTAGTTCCGAAAAACAGCAATCGGAGAATAGACTCACAATGGAAGCACGAGCGGGACAGGTTTATAAAATGGAACAGGAGCCATCAACCCCCTCCCACCGGGATGGACCACGAGGGCACAGCACAGCATGGTTGGGTCCAAGCCTGCTGGGTTAAGCATGGGGAGACAGACAAGAGGGTCTCCACCAGATGAATCCCACATCCCCAGAGTCTAAATCTATCCAAGCCAAAAGAGTGGTGTCTGGAGCCAGAAGACCAGTGTCCTGGCCATTCTGTCAGGAACATGCATCCAGCTGGGTGTGGTGGTGCACGCCTGTCATCCCAGCACTTGGGAGGCTGAGGCAGGAGGATCAGCATGAGTTTGAGGTCAGCCTGGGCTATATAGTGAAATCAAGGCCAGCCTGGACTACACGGTGAGACCTTGTCTCAAAAAAGGGTAGGGGCATGCAGGGAATCTGCTGGTGGGGTGGGAGTGTTTGACAGTGTTTTAGGTGGAGGTGATTTGTGGGATACAGCATGAAAGTCTGCTTTTTTATTGTATGTAAAGTATATTTGTACTTATTTGCCTGTCAAGTAACAGTATAAATCTTAAAAATGCATAAAATCAGCAGCTGTTCTTTTTGGGTACCAGGGATCAAACTCGGGACCTTGCATTTGTGAGGCAGGTGGCAGAACCACTGAGCTAAATCCCTGGCCCCAGCAGCTTTTTGTTTGTTTGTTTGTTTTTGTTTTTTTGAGACAGGGTCTCACTATGTAGTCAAGACTGATCTGGAACTCCCTATGTAGCCCAGGCTGGTCTCGAACTCAAACTCACAGTGATCCTCCTGCCTCAGCCTCCCGAGTGCTGGGATTACAGGAGTGAGCCACCACTCCCGGCAGCAGCAGCTTTTTTTTTTTTTTACAGTACTACAAATCGAACTCCAAGCTTTCTCTCCTTTTTTAAATTTGGAGACAGGGTCTTGCTAAGTTACCAAGCTGGATTTATTGTTTCTTTGTTTGGGTTTTTTTTTTTTTTTTTTTTTTGGTTTTTTGAGAAAGGGTCTCACTATGTAGTTAAGACTGTCCTGGAACTCACTATGTAGCCCAGGCTGGTCTTGAACTCAGAGTGATCCTCCTGCCTCAACCTCCTGAGTGCTGGGATTACAGGTGTGCACCACCATACCTGGCTTTTTTGTTTTGTTTTATTTTGTTTTCCAAGTTGGATTTGAACTTGTGATCCTCCTGCTTCAACCTCTCAGAATGCTGGAATTACAGGTGTACACCACCATGTCTAGTTAAAATTGTTTTCTTAAACCAGGTGTGATGGTGCAAGCCTGTAATCCCAGTGCTGGGAGTCTGAGGCAGGAGGATCGACATGAGTTCGACGTTAGCCTGGACCAAATAGCAAAGTCCTGTCTCACAAAGCTAAACAAAACAAGTAAAATAGGTTTTCTTTTCCTTTCTTATTTTTTGTGGGATATAGTAGCACCTGCCAATAGTCCCAACTACTTAGGAGGCTGAGGCAAGAGAATTACTTGAGGTCAGAAGTTTAAGACCAGCCTGGGTAACATAGCAAGAACCTGTCTCAAAAAAATAGAATGAAAGTACTTTTTGTGTGTGTGGGGTGGTGCTGGGGATTATTCTCAGAGCCTGAGCTGTCCTTTAGTCTGGCCACTTCAATGCTGCCACCTAAGATGCATGGTTGGTCCGTGTGTTTCGTTGTGGCATTGAAACAGCAGAGATTCCTCAGCACGAGGAAATAAACCCTGAAGCTCTTGGAGGGACCCCCTCTGTGTCCCTGGTCGCTTTGGTGAGAGTGCAGCTCACCTGAACCTGCCGATCCGCCGTAGGTGTGAGAACATCTCCCCGCCGGGCACGTACTCCATGACCATGTACAAGTTTGAGTTGTCCTGCGGGAGGCAGGGAGATCAGGGCCCCTTCCCAAGGCCCTGGTGGCCTTGCTGGACAGGGCTGAGCCAAGCGATGACAGAGAGCGCCCCTTGTGGTGAGCTGTGAAAGCCATGCCCTTCATTGTACCCTTGAGGAAGAAGGGGCAGGAGGTATCCTGTCCTCCGGGGGGCGGGAGTGGGTCCAGCTCCGAGGTGTGCTGGGAACCTGGCTGGTGCCCTGGCTGGAAAGCAGAGTGCAGATTCGGCAGTAGCTTGTATCTGAGAGCCTGAGGAAGGTTTCTTGGGGGGCTATAGTTTTGTCATCTGTAAAATGGGTTCGGGAGAGGCTACAGAATTTGGGGGTCCCAAAAGAAAATGAGCTGGGCATGGTGGTGTGCAACTGTGGTCCCAGTTACTGGGGAGGTGGAGGTGGAGGATCGCTTGAACCCCGCAGTTGGAAAGTAGCCTGGGGAACACAGTGAGAACCCACTTCTTAAGGAAAAAAAGGGGCAGGCCTTTGATTAAAACAAAAAGCAAAACAAATATCAACAAAATATCAACAAAACAAATATCAAGACAGCAGTGGCACAGCATTAAACTTGAGTGGCCCCTCTGAGCACAGGCTGTTTTTACCCTACAGTGGGTAGCTCTGTACGGCACACTCGAGCCACCAGGCCAACCCGCCCAGGGGACCTCAATGAGTCCCTTAACACAGGTGAGCAAACCGCGCCCCAGGAGAGGAGCCCGTCCTGAGGGTCACTCACAGGGAGACCTGCACCGGGGCTGCCCTCCAGGTGTCTCTCAGAAGTGTTCCCTGAGGGCACCCCAGCAGGTGACCTGCCCAGGTGGCCACAGCAGAATCTGAAGCCCTGCTGGCCTGACCCTGGCCGCCTCCCCTGGGGCCTCCTCCTTCCCTGGGACCCACCCTGGAGACCCTGAGCCCTGGTCACTGGGCCCCACCTTGAAGGAGTACTCGAGTCTGACCAGGAACGGGAAGTTGACCGCCTGTAGGATGCGCTTCTCGTTGAGGGTGTGCTCGATCTGTTTCAGCTTCACTACCTGTGGGGCACAGAGCACAGCCATGAGAGGGGCCGGGAACTGGGGGTGTCAGGGCCAGATGCCGAGGATGAGAGAGGAGGGAACTGTGGGTAAAGAATACAGAGAGGTGGCAGCCGTGGTGGAGAAAGCCTGGCTAAGGCGCCCGGTGCAGAGTGGGAGGGGCAATCAGAGAGGGTTCCCTGGAGGAAGGGCTTGGGAAGGCAGTCCTTCTGTTTGTGGGGACCACTTCCGCACAGCACCCCAAGCTCAGTATGGTCCCACTTCAGCCTTGAACTATCCCCGGTAGTTATTCAAAGGCAGCTGGCCATAGTGGCCTACACCTGTGATCTCAGCACTCTGGGAGGCTGAGGCAGGAAGATGAAAAGTTTGAGCCCAGTTTGGGCAACTTAGGGACACAGCAAGACCCTGTCTCAAAATAAAGGGCTGGGGATGGAGCTCAGAGAGAAGGCCCTGGATTCAATCCTCAATACCACTACCACAATAAAATAAAGTTTGGGAGGCTGAGGCAGGAGGATCACTGCAAGTTTGAGGCCTTCCTGGGCTATACAGTGAGTTCAAGACCAGCCTTAACTACATAGCAAGAGCTTGTTTAAAAAAACAATTATTCAGAAGGCTGGTGTATAGCTCAGTAACAGAGCACCTCGTGTAGTCTCTCTCCCTCTCTATCTCCTTTTGTGGTGCTGGGGATGGAACCCAGCGCCTCACACATGTTAGGGAAGTGCTCACCACTGAGTGTAGCCGGGCCCATGACTGCTTGTTTATTTTTATTGTAGAAAAATGGCAAACATTTTTTGGGGAAAATCACAGGATGGTGATTATCCTAAAAATTAATTTGATTTTAAAACAAACTGTAAGCCAGGCGTGGTGGCGCACACCTGTAATCCCAGCACTCGGGAAGATGAGGCAGGAGGATCGCTGTGAGTTCGAGACCAGCCTGTGCTACATAGTGAGTTCCAGGTCAGTCTCAACTGCATAGTGAGACCCTGTCTCAAAAAAACAACACCCCCCCAAAAAAAAACAAAACCAAACCAAACTGTAAACCATTAAATTTACAAGCCACTCGATTTAATTTTGATCATAAACGTTATCAGTAGTGTTAGTGACCAATTGGAAAGGAGATGTACAAGAAGGGGACTATGCTAAAATGCAGAATGCATTAGGGTCGGGAGACCTGAACACGCAAGTAAATGGTGAGACTACAAATGGGAACGTGTGGCGGTCAGCCGTGACGCATGAGGAAAATAGGGAATCCGAGGTATAAGTGGTGCAGGATTTGTAATCATTGTTAATGTTCCTATGGAAAACAGAAGTACGATGGTTTCTGGTAACATTTAACCTTTAGAATCTTAGACCGAGCTTGTTCCTAGGAGGAGGGAGCAAATGGCTGTAGTGTCTCCAAAGCTAGATTCCAGCTAGGTGCCGCAAACCCAGCAGGAGATGAGTCTCAGAGTGGTAAACACTTAGGGAAGGTGACATAATTCGGTGGCAGAGCATCTGGTTATTAAGGGTGAGGCCCTGGGTTAAATCTCTTACAGAGAGAAAGAGGGAGTCCAGAATGGTAAACACTTAGATGAGGGTTAAAGCCATGAGAAGCAGTGGGATCACAGAGGAAGGGAGTATAGACGGGTATGCTGTTTAGTCCAACTGGCAGGCTCACCAGTTTTTCTCTAGCCATATTCAGCTTTAGCAAGCTGGTAGAGAAAAGCCAGAGTTGTACTGAACAAAAGATTTGCGCCATGCTGTGAGTGTAACAAAGCAACAGATGGCGGACAAGGAGAGGAAGTCACGACCGTTCAGGGCAGGGAATGGTGAAGGGTCATAGGATCCAGGCAGTAGTATGACTGGTTGTTTAATCGTGAGAAGCCTGTGAGGACACACCCGGGGCACGGCGGTTTGGAAGGCCAGACAGAGCAGGGCAGTGACTTGGCCAAGGTCACACGGCTGGTTAACGCCGGACCGTGTGTCAGCTGTGAGTGGCTGGCCCAGTGCTTGTCCCTGTTCATAGCACAGCTATCCCAGGGTCCATGCCTAGGCTGGCAGGGCTGCTGTTACTACAGCTAAGGGCTGCTTGAGCCCTTGAAATGTGGCCAGCTGACTAGGAAATCCAATTTAAAATTTTAAGTCTCTGGGTTGGGGATTTAGCTCAGTGGTTCCACCACCTGCCTCATAAGCACAAGGTCCCGAGTTCAAACTCCGGTACCCAAAAACAAACAAAAATTTTAAGTCTCTGCTATGAAAATTTAAACACTGATACTCAGTGTACGCAGTGGATAATTTTTTTTCTTTTTTGGAGACAAGGTCTTGCTATTTAGTTCAGGCTGGCCTCAAACTTGTGGCAAGGCAGTCCTCCTGCCCTGGGATTACAGGATATGCCACCCCCGCCCCCCGCCTTTTTTAAAAAATGATGCTGGAGATGGAACCCAGGGCCTTGCACCCAGGCTGCTAGGCAATTGCTCTAGCACCCCAGCCCTCTGAATAAATTTATTTTTGTAGTCCTGGGGATTGAACCCAGGGCCTTTGCATTGAACTACATCCCCAACCCCTTTTTTATTTTTCATTTTGTGATAGGGTCTCGCTAAGTTGTTGAATTGCCCAGGTTAAACCGGGCCTTGTGATCCTTCTGCCTCAGTGTCCCAGGGCGCTGGGAGTATAGGTGTGTATCTCTACGCTTGGCTACCTCTGACTAATGTTTAAGTAAGTTTGGATTAAACTGTGGCACATAAGTCTGTTTTTTTTTTTTAACTTTTCTACTTCTTGTCTCTGGGGGATAACGTGACCATCTGAATGAAGACCTCTTTGTTTTCTTTTTGGTGTTTTCGATTAGTTTTGTTTTGAGACAGGGTCTTGCTATGTAGTCCAGGCTAGTCTTAAACTTGAGGGGATCTCTCTGCTTCAGCTTCCCAAATGCTAGGATTGCAGGCATGTGCCACCATGCCCTGTGCTATTTCCTTTTTTTTTTCTTTTTTTTCGGTGGGAGGTCAGGGGAATCAAACTCAGGACCTTGCACTTTTTTGTTGTTGTTTTTTTTTTGGTACCGGGGATTGAACTCGGGTCCTTGCGCTTGCAAGGCAGGCCACCGAACCGCTGAGCTAAATCCCCAGCCCTGGACCTTGCATTTTTGAGGCACGCGGCAGCACCACTGAGCTAAATCCACCACTACTCCCCCCCACCATGTTATTTGAAATATACATCATGCCTGGGGTGACAGGCATGCACCAGCCACCATGCTGGGCTAAAGATATTTTATTTTATTTATTTATTGGAGGGGGGGTTGAAACACGGTCTCACTTTGTAGTTGAGACTGATCTGGAGCCCACTATGTAGCCCAGGCTGGTCTAGAACTCACAGTGATCCTCCTGCCTCAGCCTCCCAAGTGCTGGGATTACAAGCCTGTGCTACCACACCCAGTATTTTATTTATATTTTTGAGACAGGGTCTTACTATGTAGTTTGTGCTAGCCTTGAACTCACTAGGAAGCTCAAGCTGGCTTCAAATTTGTGGTGATCCTCCTGTCTCAGCCTCCCAAGTGCTGGGATTACAGGCATGCACCATGATGCCCGGCCCAAGACATTTTAATACAGAGAAAATATATACCCCCCACCATCTCTACTTCTCTGTCTCTGTCTCTTTTCTGGCACTGGGGATGGAAACAAAGGTCTTGTACATACTAGGCACTCTATCATTGAACTACACCCTAAGCCTTTTTAAAAAAATTCTTTTATTTTGAGCCAGGAATGGTGGTGCATGCCTGTAATCCCAATGCTCAGGAGGCTGAAGCAGGAGTATGCAAGTGGGTTTGAGGCCAGCCTGGCATACATAGGGAGTTCAAGGCCATCTTGAACTACAAAGTGAGATCCTACCTCAAAAAACAAAACAAAATCAAAAATAATTTTTTTCTTTTCTTTTTTTTTGCAGTTCTGGGGATTGAATTCAGGACCTTGCGCTTATGAGGCAGGTACCAGCAACTACTGAGCTAAATCCCCAGCTTTTTTTTTTTTCTTTTCTTTTCTTTCTTTTTGAGACAGAACCTTGCTAAATTGCTGGCAATTTAGTTTGAGGCTGGCCTCAAACTCATAATCTCAATACTTGAGAAGCTGAGGCAGGAGGATCTCAAATTTGAGCCTACTCTGGGCAACTTAGTGAGACACAAGTCTCAAATGGCCAGGGATAGGAACTCAGTGTAAAGACCCAGGGATCAATCCCCAGTACTGGGGGGGCAGGGAGAGAAGAAAAGAATAGTCATATAAAGCATACTTCCTTCCTCCTGGAAGACTCTGGCCTCCCTAACAGGCTATGTATCTGACCCAAGTCTCAGTGGCCTCTGGGTAGGGCTCAGCCTTGGGAAGGCAGCACAGGGCCCTTCTGGTACTCAGGTCTGGCTTGTTACAGAGCTTGGGGAACACAGTCACCTCTCAGTATTCATGGGGGATTGGTTCCAGGCACCCCTGTGCTCCAGGCAGATACTGAAGTCCAGTCCACAGATAGTCCCTGCTATGAAATGGTTTAGGTGTAGTCCTAGCATTTGGGAGGCAGAGGCGGGAGGAATTCAAGGCCAGCCTGGACTACACAGTGAGACCCTGTCTTGAAAAGCCAAAAGAAAGAAAGAAAGACAGACACAGAGACAAGATAGAAAGGGCATAGTATTTGCATAGAACTTAAGTACATCTTCTTATATACTTCACTTTTTTGTGCTACTGTGGATAAAATCCAGGGCTTGGAGTAAATGCTCACCACTGAGCCACTCCCCAGCCTATACAGGCTTTGAGTCATATCTGGATGACTAAGAACCCCTAAATGATGTCTAACATTGTTCCATTTATGTAGGCTCAGTGTAGTGCTTTGTATATGGTAAGTGCAGTTTTGCTCCTTGGAATTTTCTAGAATAGTATTTCTAGAATAGTAAATTCTGGAATGTTCTAGAATATATATATTTATAGAATATCTATATACTAATATTTTATTAGAAAAAAAATAAATTTTATTTATTTATTTGAGACGGGGTCTTGCTATGTAATTCAGGCTGGCCTTGAACTTACTATGTATCTCAGATTTCTACTCAGGGTGACACTCCTACCTCACTCAGCCTTCTGAGTGTTGGGATTTTAGGTGTGTGCCACCATGCCAGGTTGGAATTTTCTAGTTTTTAGAAAAATATTTTCCAGTTGAGCATGATGTTGCATGCCTATAATTCCAACATTGGGAGGCTGAGGCAGGAGGACCACAAGTTTGAGCTCAGCCTGGGCAATTAAGCAATTTAGTAAAACCCTATCTCAAATTTTATTTTTTTATTTATTTTTGGTACCGGGGACCAAACTTGGGTCCCTGCGCTTGCGAGGCAGGTGCCAGAACCATCGAGCTAAATCCCCAACCCACCATCTCAAAATTTTTAAAAAAAATTTCTCTTTTTTTTGGTACCAGGAATTGAACTCAGGCCCTTGCACTTGCAAGGCAGGTGGCGGAACCACTGAGCTAAATTCCCGGCCCCCAAATGTTTTTTAAAGAAGGGGCTGAGGATGCAGCTTAGTGTGAAGGACTTGGGTTCAACCCCCAGTAACACACACGCACACAGGTACACATGCCCATGCAGAGGAAGTTGCATTTGTGCTCCACTGGTGCTTGCACAGAGGCGCCAGTGCAGCAGGGCAGACTGGAGAGCTGCTTACCTTCTGTTTGTCCAGGATCTTCATGGCATAGTGGCTCCCAGTGTCCTTGTGCTTTACCAGCATCACGCGCCCAAAGGAGCCGGTGCCGAGGGTCTTGATGCGATCAAACTGATCCAAACTGGCTGTGTTCTATGGGCCAAAGGGTGGGGGTGTCAGGGCTCCTCCTCCTCGCTGGGCATACCCTAGGCAAAGGCCTGGGTGCAGGCCTCAGGAGGAGACGGCAGTGGCGGGTGTTCCTGCAGGGGGTGGTAGGCCCAGTCCAGCCCTGGCCTGGGGGCGGGGGCACAGTAGGGATGGCGGAGCCTGGCAGCTGCCATCAGGTGTGGGTGTCTGGGGAGTGAGTGGTGCCAGGTGTGGACACCCCACAGTTCCTGCCATTTCAACCGCGCCTCAGGGATCCGGCCAGCATGGGGACTCGACCCTTCCCTCTGAGGGCCCCCGCTTGGTGGGCTCACCTGAGCAGGACTTTCCCATTTTTTAAGAAAATCTTCTTTGGCTTTGGCTAAGAACTCTTTCACTGAAAGGAAGAGAGAGGGGGGTTAGATGGAGACCCCCCATGTCACCGGAGCAGGCTCAGGTTACTTGTGGGGAGACACCCATTTGTGGAAAGTGAGATGCAACTTTCCCCGGGCCTGCGGGTGCTGTGGCTGAGCTTGCAGGCCCTGGGGGAGGGGCTGACTGGGCTGCGGGCAGGGTTCCCCCTTACCACAGAGGGGTGGGACGGAGCTCCCATCCATCCAAAGTAGGGTACCAGGAGACTAGGGGCTCACACCCAGGGGCATGGGGCCAGGCGCCCGGCCAGCCCATCCCCGCTTGCCCCAGTTGCTAGTGACATTCCTCGGCCAGGGCCGACGCCAGCTGGGGTATTTATAGCTTAGGATCTGGCTGCTCCTCAGGCCCCTTCTCTGGGGAGGCCGAGCAGGGATGGAGGCCTGTGGGGCTCGGGTGGCAGGCGTCCTTGGGGGGCTCAGCTGTCACCTTGGTCCCCAGCTGGACCTGGCCTGGCTTTGACAATCATAAGGCCCTGGTGTGGAACTGGTTCAGGGGAAGCCTCACCCGGTGCCCACTGCCACGCACGCTGTGGCACCTGAGGTCAACATCATATCCGGTGGACCTGGGGGTGGCTGCTTTCTCTACACTCTCTCAACACTGTTTAACGGTCTGGGGAACAGGCTCGAAAACAGTCACTGCTGCCCACAATGACAGACAGGTGGCCTAGCACAGTAGCTGAGGGCCAGGGCTAGGGATGACACAAGTTCAGATCCCCCTATTCTGGTTCCTGATGAGCTGTGCAACTTCAGACAAGCGATGCCACCTCTCTAGGCCTCAGTTTTCTGTATGTGCAAACTAGGGATAAGAGCAATGAGCTCCCCGGTGCTCATGAGGGGTAAACGAGTTCACTGTGGCAAAGGGAGTTCACTGGGACAGCATGGCAGGGGGCTTCATGCCATATAAATGTCACATACTAACTGTATTTAAAAAAATTTTTTTTTTTTTGTACTAGGGATTGAACTCAGGCAAGGCAGGCTCTATCCTACTGTGTTAAGTCCCTGACTCATACGAACTTTTTTTTTTTTTTTTTTTTTT